GACTGAGGAAGTTGGGGCTGTTCAGCCTGGAAAGGAGACGGCTGCGTGGAGACCTCATAGCAGCCTTCCAGTACCTGAAGGGGGCCTACAAGGATGCTGGGGAGGGACTCTTCATTAGGGACTCTAGTGGTAGGACAAGGGGTAATGGGTTTAAACTTAAACAGGGGAACTTTAGGTTAGATATAAGGAAGAAGTTCTTCACAGTGAGGGTGGTGAGGCAGTGGAATAGGTTGCCCAAGGAAGTTGTGAATGCTCCAACCCTGGAGGTGTTCAAGGCCAGGCTGGACAGAGCCTTGGGCGACATAGTTTAGTGTGTGGTGTCCCTGCTCATGGCAGGGGGGTTGGAACTAGATGATCTTAAGGTCCTTTCCAACCTTAACTATTCTATGATTCTATGTGATAAAGAACTTAATTCCATGGTGAATATAATAGTGTGTACAATGTGCTCCTGCTTTTTACTTTGGTAATTTTATGTTTTGGGAGTGAATGAGAATACTGAAGCCTACAGATTGCCCCATGAGTGTAGAGGTACATGAAGCGATGATAAGAAATGTTGATAACGTTGCTATTATGAAGACCTTGAATTCAGGGATTTCTTCACCTATGGATGTCACTGTGTAAGTTGGTATGTTGTGGCAGCTTTGGAGGAAGAACCTAATTTTGCCAGTATCATGCCAGAAGGGTCTTGTGATCTGATCACTTACCAGGTTACTTTGATGCCTTTTGGGGGAAGAAGCAATAGGATTTCCAGTATTTCCTTCAGTATTGCTTGGATAGAAATACAGGTTTGATGATTGATGTACCTTGAAAATATGATGCATTCTGAAGGCTTTCAAGACAAACTGTGTACTCAACAAGACTGTATTGCATGTGTGGTGTTCAGCACATCAGACAGACTGGGCTGAGCTGCTTTTTAGTCACACAGCCTGCTTCCCAGAAAGTGTTGGATTTGCTGTGTGTTCACAGAGCTTACAAGTCAGCGTGTAGGTGGTAAATGCGTTGCAATCCAGCTTCCCTGACAGAAATTTGATCAGCTTCCATCACTGCTTTCCTTTCCCCAAATTCCCAATGGAAAATGAAGACACATCTGAGGAAAACTGGATACAGGATGGAGACGTACCTGAGGAAAACTGAATACAGGGTACCCTACGCTATTGTAGCAGCTTTTAGGATATGCTGAATTAGGACCATCAGCACATAGCAGGGCTGCATTTCCTCCTTGCAAATAGGAAAGCCAAAAGCTTGATACTGTCAAAGTATCCATCTATTACAAAGTACAGGGAACAGCAGTTTCTGGAAACTTACTCTTCTTCCTGGTTGTGAGCTAAGAATTCCTCTTCTTTCAGCTACTGATCCTAAAGGTTATTCAGAAGATGTGGGTAGACAAGCAGAAAACTTCACATTCAGTGTCTTGGAGCTGTAAAGAGAGCCATATGCTCTGATTTATAATATGCAAAATCTATGTATTTCAGGATTGAGGCTACATTCTTCATCTGTGTAAGACATTTTTTAGCATATTTTAAAATAATAATTTCAGATTCTGTTGAAGCAAGCCTGTCTTGGTCCTTTGACTTAAATATTCAAGTAACACTGCCCTCAAGTAAGGTATAGTCCTACCTTAATTGTATGTAACTGTGTTTCTAAATGGATCAATGAATATGTTTGCAGCAAATCAAGTCCTATATATAAGGGTGTCATTTAACTATACTTACCATTTCCACCCTTTCATAACTGAATAAGCTATCTCAAAACTCTTATTTTCAGTTGACCAGATGAAGTAGTTAGCTCATTTCTGGTTTACTTTTCCAGTATGCTAGGAGTAAAGTCTCAGCTCTGTGACATGAATTGCAATAAGTAACATAATGATAGGTAGCATTTTAAAATACGTGAAATGTAAAAAATCAGTACAGTTTTGAGAAGCTGCTCATTCCAAGATAATGCTTGTCCAAAGCTGCCACCAGAAGAAAGGATTCAGCTCTATTTTGGAAGCATAGACATCTAAAGTGTCTTTATAGCATGCAGACCTTCTAGGTAATATCTCTTCCAGCTTAGATTTGGGGTTAATTTTCGTAGTTGAAACTTTTTTCTCTGCGTTGTCAGTGACTTTTTCTCTAAAGTTCTATACCAGAGGGGGGGGACCAAAATAATTTTCCCAATTCAGAGGATTCGTGTCTTACAGTAAAAAAATCAGAAAACAGCAAATTTATAATGTTTAATGTTAATGAAGGTCATAGCATGACCTTCATTAGAATTTTATGTCTTCCTCTCTTTGGATTACACGAAGTTGTGACTGAAATCAGTCCAGTACTCTTGGGTGTATTTAAGCACTTGAAAGTTTTTGATCTGTTACATGTTGAACTCCTTAGGTTTCATAGGGCTGCTTTCCTTATTAAGATTAATAACTGGTACTGTGCTGTGTGCCCCTTTTTCTCTAAAGAGGCCAATAAACTGGAAATATTAGGAGCACAGTTTGCTTGAGGAAATGGCTTACCATCGTAGTTGCTTAAAAATCAATGTTGCTGGTTTTCCCCAAACGTGAATTAAAGCAAAATTAGCTTTACGCTTATCTCTACCTGGCTAAAATCTCTGTAGAAATTCTGTGGTGTAGAGGAATATCTAATATTAAAAACAAGGGTAGTTGCATATTTGGATAATTGCGTGCTACTTTTGAAGAAACTTGATGGCTTGAGACTATTGGCAGTGTTCTAGAAAAAGCCTATGTTGGTGGATTTGATAGCCACAACTGGATGTGAAGAGGTCAGCTCTCAGAAGTACGGAACAGTGGTGTAATGCAGTGTAGGATAGTGATGTAATGCCGTGTAGTAGTTCACATTTTGAGCTCTTGCTGTTTCAGCAGTTGCTGCTGTTTAGGGAAGCAAGTGAGAAAAAGCCTGCCCAAGCTGCTAAGCATGCTCAGCTGAAATAGCCTGTAATGCTAATGGTAAAGAACTAATTGAGAAGGGATAAAATAGGCTTTGTTCCGAACAAAAGCATCTGTACTAAAGCAATTTTAGGGAAAACAAATACCTCTTTTAAGGAAGAGTACCTTCCCTATTAATGGACCTGCTACATTTTTTATGCTGTGCGTGACTAGTACCCTTCTTCCAATAATCTAAGACCACAGATTCTTTTGTGTCAAGATGTTTCCCTTCTAATGAAGATCCAATGCTTTAAATTGGTGTAAGTGGTTGTTTGTTATGTTTGTGACATAAGATCATAATGTTGTAGAGAAAAATATTCTGTGGTAAGGTAATACCTCTCCTTCTGAGATGCCCAGTGAACTCTTAACAGCAGCTTAGACTTCTTGTTAGGCTAAATTGTCCTTCAAGATTTCACATCATTCCAGGTTCTTCCATTTTTGAGTGATCAGAATATAACCCAAATTTTTCATCTGGACAAACCTCCAGAAGTACATCAGTAATAATTAGAATTCCTAATTTGAATGTATCAAGCGTAAATTTTATTTCCTCCTTTTTTCCTTTTTTTTTACCTTGTACTTCTAGAGTGCTACTTTCAGAACTATGTCAGAATATTGGCCATCAAAGTTAAGTGACTGTTTTTAATAGAATTTTTTTCCCCTCCCTCTTTTTGGAATATTTTCTAGGTTTTCTTCAAAGAAATATTCCTGTATATCTTGGAAACCTCTACTAGCTCATTCGATCATAAATGGATGGTTATACAAACGCTGACAAGGATATGCGCAGGTATTAAAGGCCGTTTGGTTCTAGTTTTTACATTTTTATGCTAAAGAACAAAACTACTTGCCTGTCATTGAATGATCTGGTTTTTATTCTAAGGTTGACAATGTCCCTTTGTTTTATAGATGCTCAGAGTGTTGTTGACATCTATGTGAATTATGATTGTGATTTAAATGCAGCAAATATATTTGAAAGGCTGGTTAATGACCTATCAAAGATTGCTCAAGGAAGGGGTAGCCAAGAACTTGGCATGTCCAATGTTCAGGTAAAAATTCCACCAAAATTTTACGAAGCTTGATTGTTTTGCCATGATAGTTTAAGACTAAACTCTCAATTCTATTCATGTATTGCTTTTAAAATCTTTTCTAGGAATTAAGTTTGAGAAAAAAAGGATTGGAATGCTTAGTATCAATCTTGAAGTGCATGGTGGAGTGGAGTAAGGATCAATATGTAAATCCCAACTCTCAGACAACACTTGGTAAGACACAGGATGTGATTCTTCTGGTTTTAGTCAAGAGATGCTTAAAGCTCCAGGAGTTTAGTGCATTTTTCCAGTATTTTGATACTGCTGGTGTCCAGATAGGTAAAACCTCTTGCATTAAAAAAAGAGAGAGAATAAACTTTTTTTTTTCTTTGGTAGGAATATTGGTAAGTTGGGTTGATGTAATTTGAACAAGATATTGTAAGTTGTCTTTTCTTAATAGTATGAAGTCCTAGAAAGCTACTACACTGAAATTTACTAAATCCTGTTATTTTCTGTATTTCTAATTTTAAAAGGCTCACAAAACTTACTTTGAAGCTCCCTTAATTTCATCTAACTTCATATTGATCAAATTACTACTGAAGCAAGCTAGATGGAGAGAATTTATTTATTTATTTATTAATATGTAGGTGTAGGATTTTTAATGTTGTAAGCAGTGAAGTAACTAAATCGTTACTTGTTTTAATCTGGTTTCCATCTGACCTGACATGAAAAATACTAAGGTTAGGTAGAATTTTCAGATTAAGCACGTAATGTTGGTAGGTGAAGCAATAACCTTTTAGAGGTTGTTAGCACAGCTGCTGTTGTGAACTGAGAGCACCAGCTCTGTGGCATGTGTGATCGTAAACACTTTTAGACCCTCTGTTTCGAAAACAGCGTGATTTGCTTCAGGTCAAAAGTAACATCAGATTGAAAATAAAAGGAAAGATCTGTAATTGGGTTTCCATGGTGTCTTCCCCCTCCCCCCCAAGTGTGCTTACAAATTATAGTTGTAATTTAAGGCTTAAATTTCAGGTATGTGATGGACTGGAAGAATCCTCCTTGGTAGATTGTAGTGATTTTTTTGTTATTCTCCCTATCAGAACAAAAGCAGAATATTTATATAAAAACAAATAGGTAATTGAAGGTAACCCTAGTGAGTTTTGGAAGCCTTCAGAGAGGATTTGAAGAATAACCTGTGATTTTAATTTCTTTTCACTGTATGTATTTTGTATGTATGTAATCCTTTCTAATTTATAGGCCAAGAAAAACCCACAGAACAGGACAGCAATGAAACCAAACACCCTGAGACAATTAACAGATATGGAAGCTTAAACTCTTTGGATTCTACTGCTTCATCTGGAATTGGCAGTTATAGCACACAGATGTCTGGCACTGACAACCCAGAGCAGTTTGAGGTCCTAAAGCAACAAAAGGAAATAATAGAACAAGGAATTGACTTGTGAGTGCCCTTTTATCACCCATGGGAGGGTGGATTCTTTTGGAGCTATGAAGATTCCTGGGTTTTTCTTCCTTCTCCTCATAGATACTCATCTTGTGTTAGGAAAAAAACTCTGGATGTAACAGCACTTCCTCTGGTGAAAGAGTGCTGAATGGTGTCCCCTTTGGAGCCTGTCAACAGTGTTTTGTGTTAACCTAATTCCTCACAGCTAGAAGATGAGTACTCTGTATGTTTGTTCTTTTTTCTCCAGACCTGCTTGTCTAAAATAAGATTTTTATATTTGGATAAAAAGAACATTGAACTCATGTGATCAGTTGAATGCAAGCCATTTTAGTGTACACATTACTGATGAAAGTGTCTATATGCTTAAGCTCATGCTTCCTTCTGATTAATTAATTTGTCATAATTAGAACTGGAGGATAGCATAATTTTTCTCTGCAGTCTTGACATGAATCTTCTGTGCGATTTCAGCTTTGTCACCTTGCGTCCTTAGTGAGGTCACTTTATGCAAAAATAAAAGTTTTCTGCAGTATAGTTCTCAGATCCTGAACAAACATTGCTTAGTCCTTTAGGGTTTCGGTTTCTTTCAGTTACCTGGTTCCATGTCTTTGTACATTTCCATTCTTACAGGCAACTCATGGATTTTTTGATTGCTTCATACAGATTAAACTAAAAGCAAGAGCGTAATAGTTCCATTCCAAGCGAAGACTTTGCTATTTCTGTGGAATACTTTTTTATCCACAAGTGCCAGTGTAAATGATAGTATCTAGGACTCTTTACTGGGACTTCTGTAGATGCCATGCTGGCAGTTATGTAGCAGAGAGGAAGAGGGAGTTGTTCACAGGGGAAAAAATATAAAATCATCCAATGATGAAGGGAATAATCATAGAAGGGAATAGCATATTCTTGTCTAATGCACAGTTTGATGAAGGAAAAATATTTAATACATAGATTTTTCAATACTTCATCCAAAATTATTGACTCTTTTTACTTAAGCTGGTACAGCTTTGTGTATGGCTAAATGTGTTAACTCTCATTCCATCCTGATCTTCATTGTACAGATTCAATAAGAAACCAAAGAGGGGGATTCAGTACCTGCAAGAACAAGGAATGCTTGGCACTACCCCTGAAGATATTGCTCAGTTCTTGCATCAAGAGGAAAGATTAGATTCAGTAAGAAAACTCTTTTCCTGATGGTCGTTTTTGCTCATGATGATGTTTTTATACTAATTGCAAATCACATAATAGTGTTTTAAAGTGCACAACTTTATTGTACATGAAGAAAAGGAGACTTCTCTCTACAAATTCTAAAATTGAAAGCTCAGGGAATTTGGAGTATGCATTAGAGCTAGAAACTGTACTGTATGCGTCCTGCAGTTCATTGAAGTGTAAAGGGGAGACTGACCTGCTAAAGCTGACTCAAAACTTGTACTTAGTTGGTAATATAGCTAGAAGCAACTTACTAAACAGGATGTACTTTAGTCCAGTAAAGGACTGCCAGAAGAGACTGTGCTTCAGAGACAGCTAAAAAATAGTCATGCAACACCATGAAAAGCATTTTTTTGCTGCCTCCCAAAGTAATGTTACTTAATCTAGATTAGTTCTTTGATTTTATTTACAACTGCTGGCTTTTGCTGGACTTGGAAGAGGCCTGCAGTACTGGCTGAGGAGGGTAGAAGTATATCATGTGGGTATTGTCATGAAAAACTGTGGTTTCTCAAATGGCAGTCTGCATCACTGTGCTTAGTAGCCATTCCCATTGTTGTGTAAGGAAATGCTTGCGTATGTACCCGTGCTTGCAACTGTGACTGAAGTCACAAATTTCAGTATTAGAACTTAGAATCAGGCATCTAAACAAATCTTTAACCTCAGTTTATATATACAAGCATCTTTATATGAATGCACAGTATTTTTCACTGTACTCTATTGTGTTGACAGTGATCAACTTGGATGCATTTGTTTGCCAGCTGTTTATATTTGAGCGTCACTTAAATCTCTATGAGACCTGTACTCTAGTAGAGATAAAATTTAGTAACATCTTCATTCCTGTAGTAAGTCTCCTAACTACAGAAATCATTACAGCAGAGAACAAACAATCATCGGTAATACTAACTTTGTCTTGTGCACCTAATAGCAAAAAATAGTACATGAGTAAAATGAAAGGAGGAGAAAAGCAGGCAGATATGTATGAGCATGTAAGAGTATTATGGGGTAATATATGGCCAAAATACTTTGCTTTAGAGAGTATTTCTGCTTTCTCTCTTCTTTTGTGAGACATGTAGGCAATATGACTTTGTTCTCATTTATGATTTTTTCCCACTGTAAATGCACTAGTTTGCCTTTTCTATTCTTATTTTAGACTCAGGTTGGGGAGTTCCTGGGAGACAATGATAAATTTAACAAAGAAGTCATGTATGCATATGTAGACCAACACGACTTCTCAGGAAAGGATTTTGTTTCAGCTCTGCGTATGTTTCTAGAGGGATTTCGTCTTCCAGGAGAGGCTCAAAAAATTGATCGCCTCATGGAAAAATTTGCTGCTAGGTATTTAGAATGTAACCAAGGGTAAGCCATACTTTGTCTTCAGAACTTTGGAAAGATGAATAATAAGTAAAAGAACCTAACATGTTCAATTTGCTGTTCTCTTTCTCCTTTCTGCCCTCAGGCAAACTCTTTTTGCTAGCGCAGATACTGCGTATGTTTTAGCATATTCAATTATCATGTTGACAACAGATCTTCACAGTCCACAGGTACGTTGCTAGAAAAATATTTGTGTAGTCCATAAACATCTTAACTTCTGGGCTTTGTGACAAAGTAGTTGTAAAAGTTCCATGTCCAACACCAACATTTGACACCAACATGTGTGTTAAGAAATGAGGTTTTATCCGTCTTTTAAGTAACAATATACGTTTCACGGGTGTTGAGATTTTTAAGTTGTTTTGATTAGACCTTTCTGTAAGGTATCATTTCCCTACTCTCTGTTGAATAGGAGTTGTGCTGATTTGCTTTCATATTATGGCACTCAAAGTAGCAATCTAACCTGCAGTCAAAGCCTAATATTTGAAGTTGAGGTAATAGCTAGCTTGGTCTGTATGCCAAGATACAACACCTTTTTTTGGTAATGTATGTCTTACTGATCTGCAGATCTTACTGAATGTTTGTGTGTGTTGTAGTGTTCACATGGCCTTGTGTTATTTGTAGACTGACAGTGTAGTCTCACATATGTTAGATACTCAAAAATGTCTTCTGAATCAGCAGGTTTGTCCTTGATGTCAACCTTTCATCTGTTTGGGTGCTTTATAAGCAGCATTGTAACTGCTATGAACTTGCGTCCTTTGTTGATATTAATAGCTTCTTTCTGGTTTTCAGGTTAAGAATAAAATGACGAAAGAACAGTATATTAAAATGAATAGGGGTATCAATGACAGTAAAGATCTGCCTGAAGAGTATTTGTCTGCTATATATAATGAAATAGCTGGAAAGAAGATCTCAATGAAAGAAACAAAAGAATTAACAATACCCACAAAATCCAGTAAACAAAGTAAGTAGTTGCAGTGTTAGCTTTCTTCAGTGTTGCCTCTACAGTTTAATGAAACAATCTCCTTTTTAAAATGAGAAATGAAGCAAGCACCACTTACTTAATTCAAAATGAGGCCTAACTCCTGCTTTCATAACCTTTTAACATAAATGCATGATGTTCAAACCTGTGTTAAATGCAAAAAAATGTTATTTTCACTTTCTCTTGTATCTGAATTCCTTGTATTCAGTGCATTGACCATGGAGAAGACAGATTTTGCTGCTGAACAGCAACATAAGAAAATGCATTTGAGGACTTTATGAACAAGGATATTGCTGATAGGCATAGGGCATAACACACACAGTAGCTGTGCCTTCTATTTCTAACGTAGCTGTTGTGTTTTCCTCAATAACCATTTTATACATTATTTTGACTTAAGTTAAATTTTATCTATATTGTGGAAGAAGTATTTTGCTGGTGTGGTAATTTTGGGAAGTACAACTAATAAATGCATCAGTATGGCACTTTATGAAAAATTTTGAATTATATTTCTGAAGACTCCACTGTTAAACATGCACAAATAAGAGGAAAAATGTGTTTACAGGTGTTGCTAGTGAAAAACAGAGAAGACTTCTATATAACTTGGAAATGGAACAAATGGCTAAAACAGCTAAAGCACTTATGGAGGCAGTGAGCCATGTTCAGGCACCTTTTACTAGTGCAACACACCTGGAGCATGTGAGACCCATGTTTAAGGTGAGATACATGTTTTGATACTCGCTGAGAATATCACACCGTTTTTTAATACAAAATACTGACTGTCAGGATTTGTTAAAAACACTTGTTGAAAAGATTTGCATCTGTTATGATCATTTTGTAAGTTAGTTAACTTGCTACAGGAAAGAAGGGATTTCAAGCCTTCTACTCCAGTTTCATTAACCCTGGGATTATCGGAACAAAATTCTGTCCAATGTTGTCTGTTGGAAATTAGTATTTCAGAAAGGCTAGGACTGTCATTTAGTTTTGGGGGAGATAGCTGGACCTGTATGAAACCATTATTCTAAACACCTGTCTTTGAAATGTGTATATGCAAAGCTATCTGCATCCCAAATGCCTTTCCTGTACCAGTGGTTCAGATTTGTAGATAAAGAGTATGTTCAGTAGTGTATGCCTCACTGTGCCATTGGATATGGTCTTCGGCATAAGTAACTCATCACGGTTAACTGCCACTGGAATAAATTGTTGCACCCTTAATATGCACTCTCATTTGCTACCCTTGCGCAAGTAGGAGTCCTCATATGACCCCTTTGTGAACTCCTTCAGGGAGGGAAAGTCTCAGACCACTACTATTACAATGAATAAATGGTTCCCTGGAGTTATGTTCTTTGAGGTCAGGTTTTGCTCCAGGCCCAGGCTCATAGAATCATTTAGGTTGGAAAACACCCTTCAGATCAAGTCCAGCTGTCAACAAAACACTACCAAGTCTGCCACTAAACCATGTCCCTAAGTGCCACGTCTGCACATCTTTTAAATACTTCCAGGTGTGGTGACTCAACCACTTACCTGGGCAGCCTGTTACAGTGTTTGACAACCCTTTTCCTAATAGCCAATCTAAACTTCTCCTGGCACAGCTTGCCATTTCCTCTTGTCCTGTCACTTCCTACTTGGGAAAAGAGACCAACACCCACCTCACTACAACCTCCTTTCAGGTAGCTGCAGAGAGCCATAAGGTCTCCCCTGAGACTTCTTCAGACTAAACAACCCAAGTTCTTTCAGGTGCTCCTCATAAGACTTATTCTCCAGACCACTACTATTACAATGAATAAATGGTTCCCTGGAGTTATGTTCTTTGAGGTCAGGTTTTGCTCCAGGCCCAGGCTCATAGAATCATTTAGGTTGGAAAACACCCTTCAGATCAAGTCCAGCTGTCAACAAAACACTACCAAGTCTGCCACTAAACCATGTCCCTAAGTGCCACGTCTGCACATCTTTTAAATACTTCCAGGTGTGGTGACTCAACCACTTACCTGGGCAGCCTGTTACAGTGTTTGACAACCCTTTTCCTAATAGCCAATCTAAACTTCTCCTGGCACAGCTTGCCATTTCCTCTTGTCCTGTCACTTCCTACTTGGGAAAAGAGACCAACACCCACCTCACTACAACCTCCTTTCAGGTAGCTGCAGAGAGCCATAAGGTCTCCCCTGAGACTTCTTCAGACTAAACAACCCAAGTTCTTTCAGGTGCTCCTCATAAGACTTATTCTCCAGACCTTTCAGCTTTTTGCCCTTCTCTGGACCCACTCCAGCACCTCAATGTTTTTCTTGTAGTGAGGTGCCCAAAACTGCAGATCGTGTTCAAGGCATGGCCTCAGCATTGCTGAGAACAGGGGGACAGTCACTTTCCTAGTCCTGCTGGCCACGCTATTTCTGATACAAGCAAGGATGCTCTTGACCTTCTTGGCTGTCTGGGCACCCTGAGGATGTAGCCGTAGGATTGCTGTCCATGAGGGAAACCTCTGAGTTCTTTATCTCCGTATTAATAGAAGTAGAATAGTATTCTCTTTGTATAGAATAAGACTAAATGAAGCCTGAAGCCCTTGTTTAAGATCTACTTTCAGGGTGTCACTTAGCAGAGGTGTACTGTAGATAATTTCTCTCAATTGAGTTCTTTAAGGCTGAAATGAAATAACTTGCATGCAGGCAATTGTAAAATTCGTAGACTATTATTCCTTAAGATACCAGACCTATTACTCTATAACATGCCTAGCCTTTAGTATCTGAAAAGTACATTTGCAAGTTAATTTTCAAGGGAGCAAGATACAAAGCATCGGGGTAAATTAACACCCTAAACGTCTTTTGTGAAGGTGCTATGAATAAAAGTCTTCTTACTTAAGAACTTTATTAGTTCATAAACTACTCAAAGTACTGAGTACAGTGTAATATGTTGAACAGAGAGCTGTCTTCTCAAAAAAGTGGGAACTGTGGAATTTAGATGTTTAATTTCACATTTTTCATTTAGACTTTTTTAATTTTCATTTCAGCAAAGCTTTATAAATTTCTGGGTGTCTCACCTATTGATGCAAGCTTAAAACGTATTGTAATAACTATATTTACAGACAGATCTGGTAACCTACTAAAACAGAACAAAAATTCACTTTATGCGCCCACCTAAGCAGCCAAAAATTAGTTGTCTGTTTTAGAGACTTAATTTTCACCTTTAACGACAAAACAGCCTATTACAAGTAACAGCATAAATCTAGTTATAAAACGTACCATACCGATCTGTAGATAGTTCTTAAAAGTATTTAAATTTTATGATTTTTTTAAATTAAGTGTCAATAGGAATGAAAAATTAGAAAGGAGGGGGGAGAAACATACACTTCTGGAACATAAAATCATAGAATAATTGGGTTGGAAGGAACCTTTAAAGGTCATGCAATAGGAAATCAAGTCCTGGATCTAAGAATGCATCTGATGCCTTTAATATTGTTCCAAAGTTATGGTTTGATGAGTGCAAGTGTTTAACACTTCTGAGTTTGTGCTTTTGGAATTGCTGGCTTAAATGAAACCAGAGCTCTGTGGTGCATCATTTTATTATGAAATGAAGTGTGAAATCTGTTGCTTCCTGCTGTGCCCATTGACTGTTTCATCTGGGGTCACTTCAGGTGAAATTATTTCTAAAATGGTCCACATATCCTGGGGTTTCCATCCATGACCATGTGTAGTTATGGCAGGATCCTCTGCATCTTATGGTTGATTTTTCTGCCTGTGGGAGAGGGAGCCTTGATCACAAGGACAGGACCACGTGGACTCGCCTGCAGTAATTTTTACTTGAGAGCATATTGCATTCTTAGTCCTAACTAAAGCAAGAGGAATGGCAAACATCTACAGTTGCTTAGATACAAAAAGATGGAGGGCCAAGGGCAAGAAAACTAAAAGCAGAGAGATCAAGGAAAAAGTTGTGTCCTGACTCTGGCTGTTCTTGTCTTACCATAATTTTAGTGGAATTGCTAGTTTGCTACCCTGTTTTACCCTACTCTCTCTTCTCCCTCTCCCCTCCCTCCTACTCATCCCCTTCTTTCTAGTGTTATCAGGGCTAACTTGTCTTATTTAGGTACATACTTTCTACCATAAAGGAATCTATGGCGCACTGTGTTGGTTCTTGAAGTAACTGTTGACTCAACCTTTATCTTTGCACAACGAGAAATAAAAATAATCGTGAGTGTACCAAAACTCCAGTAGACATCTGAGTGACAGAGAGTTTTGTGAGTTTTGTGGGGTCTGGTTTTTTTTGAGCTATCCAAAGATGGTTGTGTGTGTTGGTTGCTGGGGGAGAGTGGTTTTGTGGGAAGCATCAATCTGCATTGCTTCTGTTCTGTGCCTCATGTCTATTCTATTCCGTTTCTCTTTTGGCGAAAAGTACCTTCAAGGTTAATGATATGAGTTAAGGATGGGATTTACACTTTAGCAAGATGTTGAAACTATAACATTCCTTTCAAGTACCAACAGTTGCTAATGTAGCTTTTATTTTGCATACATTGCAGTTGGCATGGACACCCTTTCTGGCTGCATTCAGTGTGGGTCTGCAGGACTGTGATGACACAGAAGTTGCCTCTCTTTGTTTGGAGGGTATACGATGTGCAATCCGCATTGCTTGCATTTTCAATATTCAGGTAAAAAGGTTGAGACAATACTTGGATTTAACTTTTTGATACTAACATTTTAGCAAAATGTTACTGGGGTTCTAGGAGTCCTTGTTGCTGCAGCTATGCACTGCAATACCTAGAAACTGCCTGCTTCTGCAGTTGCTACTTCATCTGATATTTGGATGGAAGTGCTTTAAAGTGACCTTTAATTTTCCCGGTGTTTTGTAACTGCTAAGTGCTGCCATGCCTGTGTACTGAATTTTTGTATCCCCACAAGTTGAATACTTTCATGTCAAAGTATTTTCTTTCTAGCTTTGTTACAAAGCTGTTTACCTCATAAAATGAGTCTAACCTGTTCCATACGTAAAATAGTATCTCTGTGAACTGTGTTTGAAATACTGACCCCAGCTTCAGAGAGATTATACTAATCTGAGACTTCTATAATTGGTTACCATTTTAACAGTTGTGGCACTGGAAATGTCATTCCTGATGTAATGCATGAATGTATCTTGCATTAAGCGCAAGGCCAAGAATTCCGGACTCTCTGGCTCCAGAGGGTAATTCTGTTTAAACTTGGGGGGGGCGGGGGACTTTTTTCCCCCCCATTTTAAAATCATTGGTAGTGGGTATATAATTAGGTTATTGTAGACTATTGGTTAATACATGGACCACTGGTCTGCGATAAATCCATTGTAAGGATAGCTTAAGAGAGGGGGCAAGCAAAATTCATGTTTGACATTGCATTATTTCATGTGTGCATTTAAAACATATAAAAACCAAAACAACTAAAAAGAAAAAAAACAACCCAACAGCCTTATAAGACTAACTTTAAGTAAAAACTGTTGAACTGTGATATGATAGTGAATGCTTTGCTTCCTTCTCCCCTTGCACTTGTATTTAGCAGTTTAGATAACTTATCACTAATGTGAAAGGCACATTGGGACCTCTGATACAGCTGCTTAAAAAAGTCCATTTGAGATCATGTAAGGTTTCCTTCCTCTGTCTTTCCACTTCATTCCAACCTCCCACTCCAGCAAGCTGAGCAGACTTAAAAGTTTGATTAAGAGAGCCTTCCCTGGAGCCTGCAGTTGCGCAATGAAATTCACATTACTGTTATTTTGTTTCTAAGTTGTAAAAGTTGAACTGGTACAAATACCAGTTTCAGCAGCTGCAGAGGTTAGCTCCCAGTCCTGCAGTGGTCTGCCTTGGATAGGGAGGGCAAGGACACAATTGCCGCAAAATCCCTATGCTCCAAGAATGTACCAGAATCAGTTGTACCCTTGGGACTAACTTGATTGAACTGAGGGTGTTTCAAACCCCACAATTCTCATTTGCTGAAATTCAAAAACTTGGGGTTTGTGTTTTCTGTGTAAGCGGTATTCCTTCTTGGTTTCCTATGGGAATTCTTTTTTGTTGTTATCATTAAAAACAATACTGGTTTGTTGATGATCAGTATGGTACATATGATCCAGGATTATTCCATTGCACAAGGTCCTGATTAGGTGGCAGTGTAGTCTGTCTTCAGATGCCAGATAGCGCTAGTGGTTTGTCCTTCAAACTGGCAAATCTGCACTTGAGCTGACTTGGGGATCTTTTCTGTTGGAAGCAGGTATTTGCTCTTGTGCTTAACTGGTGCTGGCAGCTTTTCTATTTCGTTGAATAAATATACAAAAGTTAAGATTGGTGTCTAAGAACAGTTAACATTACTTTACATACCTTGAGAGATAATGGAGGGAGCTGTAGACTTTTAGTTTTAAGAAAATTCCCAAAGTACACAGTACAGCTTAAACTCTGCATGTTCACCTCTAAAACATCAATTAAAGATTCTGGTTTTAATTACTTATGCTTTTAATCTTAGACTGTCAAAGAGTCTGGCTTTTGTCTTTAAGCATCTGGGACAAGATACGCATCAAAAGGGGGTACTTAATTTGCTTATATCATCTGGTTTTACTTTCTGGTTGACGGGCACATTGTACATTTCTTGTACTCTGATGGCTTAGAAAAGGTACAGAGGGGAATACCTGTATGGAACAGAAAGGGAAGGTCACAGAAGACACACAGTTTGAAGACTCTAAAGCTTCTTTGCATAGTACTCTTTCCACCTGCTTAGATTATAAATCACTTGCTGTTCACCCACCCGTGACTGTCTTGCCTCACAAGCTCCTGGGGTGCTCCAAATGGTGTGGATTAAAACAATTGAAGAGCAGTTTTGAGGAATTGGCAAAACATGCCTTTTAGATATATTATTTAGATTCTGTTCCCAAAAAAGTCCTGCAACTTCAGAGATTCTGCTAAGATAGAATTTTCAGAGTAGGTCCACGTATAGCACAAGAATATCAAAGGTTAACTAAGAAGTTACGTTTCTTCTGAAACAGCATCCTGTTTCCCTAAAAAAAAAAAAAAAAACAAAAAAACAAAAAAAACCCCAGAAGACCAAAGCCAGAAACCCAAAAAACAAAAAAAATGTTGTATTCTTTCAGATATTACACATCATGTTCCGGGGTAGAGGGAGCCTGATTTTATCACACAGCTTACTACAGAAAATGAGATATTTTCATTCTGTAGAATGCTTTAGAAATTCAGTTCTAGGAAGAGAAAGGTAAACAGTATAGCTGCTGAAATCACACAGATTGCACCAAGAACCTGAGAAAATACTTACCAGACAACGTTTTTGTTTGGTTTTCCTCCCACTTGTAGCTTGAAAGAGATGCCTATGTCCAAGCATTAGCAAGATTTACGTTACTTACAGTGAGTTCTGGTATTACTGAAATGAAGCAGAAGAATATTGACACAATTAAAACTCTCATCACAGTGGCGCATACAGATGGAAACTATTTAGGAAATTCCTGGCATGAGGTACGAGAGTTATTTGTACTTAAACTGTAAGAAAGCACATGTATTGATTTGGAACATAGTAGTGTGCTTGTTTGTGCATAAATACAGTGGTTTTTAGGTAAGTGCCAAGTATATACTTCTGTACATACATAATGGAGAATTGCAGATTATGCAGCCAATTAAAGTAGCAAAACATGTACAAGTAAGAAATTAAATTATGAAGACTAATCCAATTGTATTTAAATTGATACTCATTTTGGATAGAAGAACAGAAATACTTTTCTGAACTTGAGTGTTTAGAATTTTTTATTTCTAAAGATCTGCCTAAAGATTTTTATTTATTTTGTACTATTTCAAGCTGCTTTTTGTTGGTAAACAACTTCTTTATTCCCTGAAATAGATTCTGAAATGCATCAGTCAACTTGAACTGGCTCAGTTAATAGGAACTGGAGTAAAACCCCGCTACATCTCAGGGACAGTGCGTGGCAGGGAAGGCTCTTTTACTGGAACAAAAGATCAGGCACCTGATGAATTTGTGGGGCTGGGACTGGGTAAGTAATGGATATACAAAGTATTTCATATAACTGGTTTTGTTCAGATGTTGAACTTTGTTGTTCGTTTTCATTATTGTTGACTCTGAGATTCAGAGACGAGACCATAAAGGAGTTCTTGTGAAACTGTCTTAGACTTTGCATAGACTTAATTCTATTTCTGGAGTGTCTGTTTTGCTCTGTTAAGTATTATTGCTAGGATGGGTGAGCAGGAAAATGTTAGCAAATGATAAATTTCTATTAAAATAGATAATTTCTATTAAAATGTCTGACCAAGTAAGAATGGATTGCTAATGATATGACCAGATTTAAGGATGTTGCAATGTTAGTTCACCAAGTATTTTACCCATCAAGCAAGTTAGGATGTGTAGGTTAAGCATCCTGTTATGAAACTTTGCAAGAAATACACAGTATTCAAACCAAGTAGGAAATTATATTAGCTTAAATACTGAAATTCCGTTTCTTCCTCTTCTGGTTACTTGCTACTGAAGAAGTGCCTTTTTTAGGTTGGCCTGAGAGCCAAAATTTATTCTGTAAGTAAGATGCTGTTTCCCATCCTAGCAAAGTGTACCAGCCTTACCTTAAGTTATCTTTAAAAGGTTGATTTTATTTTTTTTTTAATAGGGAGACAGTTAAAGGCATAAAGGTGTAGGGTATGAGGAAACTGTGGAAGCATTAAGGAAGTATATATAACTCCATTTGACTGTTAGAAAGTTTTTATTTCAGTTCTTTGCTCAGCATCTCCTGCCTTTGAACAGCTTAACCCACAGCTGGGCAAAAGCTTTGTGTTCCCTCAAGTGTAACCATTCTTTTCCTTTTTTATGAGTAATGATTATTTTACTAGTATCCCTGATCTTAGCCCTCAGCTAGTCCTAGATGTCTGGCTTTGCGTTCTCAGGCAGTTTTTCTTACTTTACAGTTGGTCTTTTTCTTTCCATCGGGCTCTCCTTTGGCCTGCCTCTGTAATCCCCTCACCTTGCCAAGAGTTGCTGAAGGGAAACCTTGTGCCTGAAATTAAAGCATCTGGCAGCATCTCATATACTGAGCTTCTCCCTGCTCTTCTAATATGCATCCTCCAGTTTAGTGTTCCCCGATGACTCATACAAGTTTGCTATTTCCAAATGCTGGCAGTTCCTCTACACTGAAGTGACTGGCCTTTAAAGATTTTAAGTCCTAATAGCTCAGGAATGTAAACTGTAGTCAGGTGTCTGTAAATCATACTTGCTAGTTGTTGGTATAGATCCAGCTCACAAAGACTTTTTTCCCCTCTTTCAACTACATTACTAAGGAAGATAGTCTATGCCCAAATGCATAAAATGTTTCTCTGAATTGAATTTCTGCTTGCTACAGTGCACATATGGAATATGGAAACTTAACCTTTTTACTTTTTTTTTAAATATTTTTATTTTAATAATACCACTTCAATATTATAGCAAAATGCCTAACTCAGTTTGGGTTTCATGCATTTAGGGGCTCTTAGAACATAATCCTTTTTCTCAACTGTTTAGTTTTTTCACTTTTCTCCATAAATGCCATGTTGCAGATACTTCAATTTTCTTTGTGTGATCTGAATTCCTGTGAAGAACCCTTATAGCATATGTCCATTTGTACAGACACATATTTTACAGGAAAGAAAATAGCTGTAAAATTAGAGTTAAGTGAAGTTGCAGTCTGGTGACACAAAAGCTCCATCTTTCAAGTCAGCTTGAAAATATAAGGCATCACAATCATGTGGGTTGTGAAAGTAAATGACTAAGCATTTTATTCCTTTGTTTCTTTTGTAGGAATGTTGTCTGACTCGTAGTTGTAACTGTGAAGTTCAGCTTTCTTCTCTAGTTTGTATTCACAAAGTTGGAAGACAAATCCAGCTGCTCTGAGTGGGTCATAGCCAGAGAGTACTTCCTAGATAACCAGAAATCTCTTTGGACAAAGGAACATGATGAATCAGTTTTTCATAACACAAAATTATATAGGTGACTCTACATTTCATTGTAAAAGATCTTGTACCTGCTGGAACATAAACCTGCTGTCTGTGTAGGTTATCCACGGTTGATCAGAAATCCCATGATGTAAGGAATTTTCATGCAAACTGGCAGAGTTTGGTAGGGTTACCTGACTTCTTAGAAAGAGCCTTCAAATTCACTTCACACAGCTGCTCATTTGATATGTTTCTTAGCTAAAGCATTACGAAGATAGAAGCTAATTGGTACTGGCGGCTTTTGTGCCGGTAGAAGAGACAAGAGAAGTCTCAATCAAAGCCAACAGTAATATAAGTTGCTGAAATACCAGTAGGAGGTTATTTATGTATGCTTGTATGTACAGAAAGGTTACTGTGCTCTGGAAAAATGCTTCGGATGGGTCAGTTTATATAGAATGAACAGCCAGGCATCTCCAGCCGCTTCCAAGTGTGGAGCACAGCAAGACTCAGAGACAAGCTTTCTGGAGGCGGTCTGAAACATGAGAGCTTCTTGTCTTTGCAACACTCTGAGAACAGAACTGCTGCCTTCCTTACAGTCTCCTGTTCTCCCCTATATATATGATATATAATGTGTATAATAAGAAAATACAGGTACCCACCATGGTTGCAGGATTCCTGCAAGTTTCTTTTTTTTTTTTTTTTTCCAAATGGAGGAGGGCTTAGATATAGCCAGAAATTTCAGAAATCAGCTCACTGTGAGTTAGCATTTTCTTAACATGAGCTTTCCAAGATGTGGGTGACAGTTCCTAGCCTCCAAAATAAATACTGCTATTTTTATTTACAGATTTTTCTCACTATTGTTAGGTGATAATTTTGTTGTACTTGAGATGTAGCTGTAACATGGAGTTCTAGTGGGAGCTCTTCTCTGTGAATGATTAAAAAAACCCTACCAGGATAGATTTACTCACTTGCTGCTAATAAAGTGTGAAAATTCCTCCTCTCTGCAATATTCTCCATCATGTGTTCTGTATTTTCAGTAGCAGAATTACCATTGAAATACCCATTGAAAGATACAGAGAAAAAGGTGGTTCTCGTGCTTGTGATGGTTTGTTTTGTTTTGTTTTGTTCTGTTTTGTTTTGTTTTACTTGTATCTACGCCTACAGTTGTTCCAATGTGGACAATTTGCTTGGTCTAATACGGTTTATAACTAATGCAGTTGAAAAATGGATAGAGAATTAGACCAGTATGGCACTGTTCAATGAGATCCTGACTTGTGCAGGGGAAATTAATGATGTTCTTCTCTTTTTTGTGAATTAAAAATAAATTTAATTACAGTGGTAGTGGCACGACTTCTCTTCCTCTTTCTTCACAGTCCTTTCTCTGTTATCTCTTACTTATTTTTCAAATTTTGTTCACTCTAGTTGGTGGAAATGTGGATTGGAAGCAGATAGCAAGTATTCAGGAATCCATTGGTGAAACTAGCTCCCAAAGTGTTGTCGTTGCCGTAGACAGGTATTGTATTAAATTTGTTGTTGCCACCTCAAGCTTTTTAAGCAATGTTTGAGTACCCTGTACTAATAGTAGGACCTTACTAGTTTACCCCTAGTTGTAAAAAACTATATAAATATTACAGTATTAAAGTGCTTTTTGGTTTTGTGGGTTTTTTCCTTTTTTGTGGAGTGAAAGTATTTTTGCAAGAAGGAACAGAACAAAGATCAGGCAACAAACCTTTCTTACTGATCTAAAATTATTACAGGAGAGTTGCAGAATAAAGACTGCTGTACTATACAGTGAATTTTGGTTTGCTATATATAGTAACATAGAGCAAACTTAATTTTGCCTGCATACAGGGAGCATTACTGACAGACCCTTTTTCTCCTAAATATAATTAGTGCTTTCCTCTAGGTTATGTAGATGCTGTCTGAAATTACCAAAATTATTATTACAGTCTTCCTTTCTGTGAATCATATTTATCATAACTAGATTTGATCAGGCATAATACATACCATAAACATTCCCTATTTGTATTAAAAAGAACTGATCAAACTGGAGTGTTAATGAATCTTACTCTTTGAGCATGTAAGAAATCAGAAAACACAATTTTCTTAGCGATTGTCAAAACTGACAGTGACAAAGTGGTATCATTCTGAAGACTTAAAAGCATTTCTGCGATTGAATATAGGCATCAAGAATCAATGTCAGTTTGATGAACGTTGCCTTGTGGTAACTTCACATCAGATGAAATGGACACTTAATGTCAAACACATAATAGCTCTTCAGATTTGCAGTATTTCTTCCCTGTTCATAATGCTAAGTGTTTCAAGTATCTATTTATCGTGGTAAACAGGAATTGATCACTAGGAAAGTTTGACTTCTGTATTTGGAGCAAGGATGAATAGTTTATAAACTACTGACATTATTCATCAGTCACTGTCAGAGAGGGGATAGTATTAGAACCAGTACTTACCTCCCAGTCGCCCCACCTGCTTGTGGGAGTTATTTTTAAATATTAAAAATAATTTAAATATTTCTGATTCTGGTTTCAAAGCTCAGTATTTTTCCACAATTACTAATTATTTTTAACAAATGTAAGTATTTTGTGGTGTCTAGATATAGTTTCCAAAAATCTTGAGTTCATGTTTAATAGATTCTTTTTTTAAGAAATTGTAACAGTGTCTTACACTGTCCTTTACAGAATATTTACGGGATCTACAAGGTTGGATGGAAATGCTATTGGTAGGTTTTATCTTCACCCCTTTTCCCCATAAACTACAAAGCAGCCTTTGCCTTAAACCCTGTAAAAATACTGCTTCTGAATCTGTGGTCATTTAACAGTGGATTTCGTTCGCTGGCTGTGTGCTGTATCTATGGATGAACTGCTGTCTGCTACTCACCCTCGAATGTTTAGTCTGCAGAAGATAGTAGAGATTTCTTACTACAACATGGGCCGGATAAGGCTACAGTGGTCTAGAATCTGGGAAGTTATTGGAGATCATTTTAATAAGGTATTCCTGTAAATGATTTTACTGCATACGCCTTGAATTATTGATACAAATACATTTTATTTAGAGCTTTGTTGGAAAAGCATGTGCTCACCTAAATTATACTGGGTTTTCTGTCCTTCTATATAAGTAGCTTAAAACACAAAAATGGTAAAGCTGGAAAGGCCTGTGAGAAGGCAGAAGTACACAATATAATAAACATAAAAGCAGGAGTATACGTTAACTTATTTATCATGACCTAGGTCTAGAACTGTCTGCCTTCAGTTACATGTTCTAATTTTTGGGGGTGTTTTGTGAAGTTTTGGGTACAAAGTTGTTTTCTGTTCAAGTCTAAATTGACTGTTCATCAGGTAACTATTTGACATGCATTTTTAATATGATTTCTTGAAGTCTTTCTAGGAAGCTTGCTTATTTTTAGAAAGTTTTAAATTTAGATATAAAAAGTAGAAAATACTTTGAATTGGTTAGGGATTATTGAACTGCATTAGCAATGCAGTTTGTGGAACTGGCTACTGTTTAATTTTGTTAATTTTCCAGTACTGCTTAATTCTCCATTATCAAATGTGAAGGCAGCTTGGGCAGAATCCATTTCTGATACAAGCTTACTATGCATTTCTGTTCTACGTTATCAGGTTGGCTGCAATCCCAATGAAGATGTAGCTATTTTTGCAGTAGACTCTTTAAGGCAGTTATCAATGAAATTCTTAGAAAAAGGAGAGCTTGCTAATTTCCGATTCCAGAAGGACTTCCTAAGACCATTTGAACATATCATGAAGAGAAACAGGTAATAACATACAATTAACTAAATCACCTGGGATTGTAAGCACCAACATCTGCCATTAATGTTTCGAATTGCTTTTGTAAAATCAGTTGCTGGATAATTATACTATTCTAATTGATTATGTAATTTAGGTTGAACAATTATTGTTTATTATCTTAATTTAGGTCTCCTACTATTCGAGACATGGTTGTACGCTGTATTGCACAGATGGTAAATTCCCAGGCTGCTAACATTCGTTCTGGCTGGAAAAACATTTTTTCAGTATTTCATCTGGCAGCCTCAGATCAGGATGAAAGTATAGTGGAACTTGCATTCCAGACTACAGGACACATTGTCAGTGAGTATTGACCATATTCAGACATCATAAAAGTCCCTGTGACTCCAGAGACTGAGAAGCTTTGTTTATCTTCGGCTCTACAGCCTGCAGAGTAAAGCCCACTTCATGCTGCAGAATCAATGTTTTACACTTTTGACCAGTCCTCTGGGAAAATACTTAGGAAAACAATTCAATAAGATTATAGTTATCTGTCTTCCTTTATGCCTTTCAAAATACATAACCTTATATGTCTGTAGCCTTAGATAATTTTACTTAATGTGTACATTTTCTTCTCCCCACCATTTTACTAGTAAAACCGTTATTTTACTAGTAAAACAGTTATTTTACTATTACGTTGTTTGCTTATCTTTTAACTTGTTTCTGAATTGTACTTGTCTATGTCCCTGTTTAGGAGAAAGTGCTGAGCTAGGTGGCACTATGATGATTTTTTAATTCCCATTCTAATTGACATCTCAGGCTTTAAGTGCCAAAAGGGATCTCTTTTTTCTTTCTCAATCTCTGCAACTTCCTAGAACTTTCTCAGCATTGATGAAGAATGGTTTGATTTCCCCCCACCCCCAAAATCACTGTGTAAAATAAAGGCAACAGGAGCATATTGCTGAAGGAAGTCCTTTTGTAGATGTCACTCTGTGCTCTATGTAGCCCTCTTAAACTCTGATCATACAGGCAGACTATTAAGCAGTAAGCCTATTGCTCTGTTCTTGCTTAACTGTTAAATTTCCCTCCTTTAGATTAAATGCTACCTTGTTTTATTTTAGACACTTACTGTCAAAACAGAACGCCCTCTAGGTGATTTTATGGTTGAGCGTTCGTATCTTGGTTTTTATTACTACTCATGCATTTGACAACACCAATCAATGAACTAGTCTCTCATGACTTCTGTTACAATCAGTTCATATTAGAGTTAATAGATTTTAAAGCATGGCACTTTTTTCTTCTGTTCACACTTTTCTCCCAGCAATTGTGTTTGAGAAACATTTCCCAGCAACCATAGATTCTTTCCAGGATGCAGTAAAGTGCTTGTCTGAATTTGCCTGCAATGCAGCATTTCCAGATACCAGTATGGAAGCGATCCGCCTCATTCGCCACTGTGCAAAATACGTATCTGACAGACCTCAGGTATCGTCTGTATTAACTAAATTAAAAGTGCTTTAATCAGTAGTGCTTCTACAAAGAAGAAAAATACTCATGCTAATCTTACTGGCTTCCCTTCAAGTTTCAGACATCAATGAGAAATGTACTTTATTCAGAAGCAATAGGAGTATAAAAGGCCACACAGTTTGAAAGTACCAGGTTTTTTGGGTTTGTTTTTCTTTTACCTCTCCCACCCATCCCCATCCACTCAGTTCAGCAGTGGTTAGCTTTCCTGAGAGCTGCAGGAACTCAGAATATCTCAGGATGTGCTCTTTACTGAGAAATGTTGTGAAGAATGGATAATGGCATAAACAAAAATGCTTGATATCCTCAAAATATGGTAGATCCTCACTCAGTGCTGTCCCTGTAAAGAGAGAGTAAGAGACTTACACTGAAGTGCAGCCAAAAACTGATGCTGGAATGTATAATCTTGTTTATTTTCTTAGTTTATTTTTCATGTATACTAAGCATTACTTTGAAAAACACCTTCTCAGTATTATTATGATTGCCAGCTCATCTTCAGGTATCAGGGTGTGTACTGAAATAGCAGGAGTTGTTATTTACAGTCCAAATGGTGTTCTGTTTTGAAAAATGTAACTCTTAACGACTCTTTTCTTCTAAAGGCATTTAAGGAATACACAAGTGATGATATGAATGTAGCTCCCGAAGACAGAGTGTGGGTGCGAGGATGGTTCCCAATTCTGTTTGAGTTGTCGTGTATCATCAATAGATGCAAATTAGATGTAAGAACCAGGTAACAATCAGTATTTGTAATTCAAATTTTAAAAGGCTTACTTTACACTTTTAAAATTGAAACAACTCTCTTAATAAACACAACTATTGTAGAATGACTTAGATGTTTTAATTTAGGTGATACCACTGTGGGAACACCAGACTTTTTATAAACAGACTTTTTAAAACCACCTTTTAAATAGATTCTGGAATGTAGAAATTAAGTTTGTGTTCTTTGCATATGAAATTATTCTCTTCTGTTATAATGAATAATGAAGTTATTTGGTTGTGATGGCATTATGTTAAATAGATAATTATTTCACTTCCTTAAATTTAAATATTCAAATAGTGCCTGTTTAGGATGAATAGCCATGAACTGTTTAAATAGTTCATTTGAAATTAAATTAACACGTAAGTAAATTGAAATATAGTGACTGTTTCCTGTTTATTGTATAACCTGTAAACTATTTAAAACAGCTCATCTGAATTTACAGTCAGATGTGATGGAGGCAGTTTATGCATAGAACACAGTGAAATGTAAAAGACAACTTTAACTTTCCTAACATATAACAAACAGCATTATTTTAACATAGAAGGTCAACTCTAGATGCAGTTTATAGTCCATATGTGTTAAATTATTACACTGGATCAATATCCAAATCTGTGGATTTTCCAGTGGCAATACCGATCCTCTCTGTTCATTAGCAAATATAAATGTATGATATTTGATTCCATGCCCCCTTTATTTTTCCCATCTTAGTGATTTGTCACAGTTGACCTGGGTAAGCCTTGTGTCACATTTCCATTTTTGCTTTCTTTGAAACAAATGTTAAATGTGCCACGCAATGAGTAGGTTTTGTTTTGGGGAATTCCAACAGCAAAATTCCGTTGAACTCTTTTTGGTTTTAGTTAAAATTCCCAGTCCTGCCTGCCTTCCTGTCTTGCCCATCATACTTACTTCAAGGATTTTAAAACTGGTTTAAACCATGATTCATTAGCTTGTTGGGGATTGTAGAAATGGTTGAAAAAGCAAAGCTGTACTCTGATTTTGTGTAAAACCTGCTTATTTTCCTTGAATATAGCTTTCCCTCAGAAAGTGTATTCTATTGCAGTTCTAGTGCTAAACATGAGAAGTTGAATACAAATCATATATTTTAAATTGACACATCTATGTGCAAGCCATGCGTCTTGACACCCTTTATAGCTAAGTGAAGATTAATACTCATTTCTGGACCTCCATATTTCTTACCTGGGAATACTTGTTCCTTTATTTTTGTAGTCCTTTTTAAAGAATCTGTTTTCCTATTTTAATTTGAAATTACCACAGTTCTCAGAAGTATCTTCTCTATTGATTCTCTTGCCTGTGACATTTAAGTGCTTTTTAAACAAGCTGATGTTCTACTTAATTTTAGCATACTATTGTGACTGATCCACATCAGATCAATGTATAATGTTCTTAATATTATTTGAGTTTGTTATTGCCATTGCAGTTGGACATACTTGATCTAGTGCATGTCCTTTTGTAACTCTTAGTACATGTTGTTCTTTCTTCATTTCAGGGGCTTAACAGTAATGTTTGAAATAATGAAGACATATGGCCATACTTACGAAAAACACTGGTGGCAAGATTTGTTTCGGATTGTCTTCAGGATATTTGACAACATGAAACTACCAGAACAGCAGACTGAGGTGAAAAAAAGTGGGATCTTTATATATATAGATGAGGTCTATATTTACTGTAGAAAACCTGATTAGTAATATCAAATAATACAAAGTGAACCTCAAAAGTTGCATGGTTGACCTGTGGTTCTAGTCAGTTTATTTTGGTTTATTACCATTCTGTTGGAGGTATTGTCACTTTTCTCTTTTTTTTTAAACCATGTGTATAAGAAGCCCTATTAGTTTACCATATGAACAATAGCCAACTATCATAAAATGCAACAGATACAGGGTTTGTAAGAACTGCAGCTTTTACATATGATGTCTGGAATCAGAGTACACCTCATTTCATGATCAGAAGAAATAAGTTCTGCTAGTTCAGAACTTTTTGATGACTAGGGGGCAAAAAACCACAACCAACCAACCAGAAAAGCCTACCCAAATCAGCACTATTTTTCACTGCATCCTTTTGACCAGCAGAACAGGTTTTGACCTGCCAAACCAGGACGAGGTACTGTTCTGACAAGGAAGTGAAACAGAAACTGCTTTATTGTCAATTATGTGTAAATTATTAAAATTAGAAGTCTGATCGAAATCGTCAGCTGTTTGGGAGTCTTGTGACTATTCCATGGAAAATATTTAGAAGAAACACGGAAAATTTAACATGGTTTGTCTGTTTCTTCTTTAAACCCGCTAGTTAGCAAAGCAAAAGCTGGGGCTTCAAGTCTTGGGTGTTTTGAAATACAGAAAAGAATTGCATGTCACTATAAAGCAATTCAAATTGAGTAAATACGAATACTTGTCTGCCTGCAAGGATGTGTATCCTAAAAGTTTCATGTTAAACAAAGTCGTAACTTCTATTTCTTTTCCCTCCTAGAAAGCTGAATGGATGACAACTACTTGCAACCATGCACTTTATGCAATATGTGATGTATTCACACAGTATTTAGAAGTACTTAGTGATGTTCTTTTGGACGATATATTTGCACAGCTGTACTGGTGTGTGCAGCAAGGTAGGACTGTACCAAATTACGTTTAACAATGTTAACATTTTACTGTGCTGGATGTGAATAAACAAGTGCACTGTTTGTCTTTTCCAGACAATGAACAACTGGCACGGTCTGGTACAAACTGTTTGGAGAATGTTGTCATCCTGAATGGTGAAAAGTTTACCCTAGAAATCTGGGATAAAACTTGTACTTGCATGCTGGATATTTTCAAGACTACAATCCCTCACGCGTATGATTGTTAATATTTATACTGTGTAAAATAATTTAGCTAAATGACTTGCTGATTAGATATCTAATAGCTGGGGTGAACAAAAAGCTGTTATGTATGGACTATACAGAAGCAGTCTTGGAATGTAATGATAAATTATGTACTAGATATACTAATTTTATGTTATAAATGATCTGTTAAAAACTAGAATTGCCATATGGAGTGGGGGGGAGGGGGAACGACCAACAAAAAACCCAAAAAACAAAACCTGAAACTGTAACTTGGTTCAATTCTTTAAAGGTGGATTTTTTGAGAAGTACTATCTGATCTTTTGTCGTTTTCTTTTCGTAATAGAGGCATGCCGTTGATAGGCAGACTTGATAGGCTTTTTCCACAACATACTAACATACTGCAACAGTCTTACAGATTTGAGCTCTGTGGTCGATGCTTAACTTCCATCATAGGTTTCCATGAATCCTAATTTTCTTATGAAAATGATCTGGCATATTTGGTAACTCTTCCCCTTTGTGCTATAACTCTACGTGAAGTTTCTTGGAACAAAGCCTGTACCGTTTTGAGTAGTATGTAATACAGATACATCATAGAGCAGGATAACAAGAGATGACATTCAGCATTTTAACAAAAATGAGGGTTTTTTCCCCATATCCTAGCAATACTGAGGTGAAACACCACGAGTTTTCAAATCTTACTGTCTTAATGTTGAACTGTTGTATTATTACTTGTCCTCTGTCTGTCAACTAGTTCATAACATTTGCTTCTGGGTATTACCTTGTTCAGGCCTAAAGAAAACTGAAACTAAAGGGAACTTTCTGCACATCAGTGTTTCCTTAATTTTAGAGTTATGTATGAGATAGCACTGTAAGACAGCTTCATTCATGCTTTAAAGATGAGTTAATCCGTCACTACTTCACCCACTTTTCTGTGTGAGTAGGTATGAATTAGTCGCATCCAAAAACTAATACTAAAATAAAACTGAAACATCTGGGAACTAGCAAGATAATTTTTAGCATTTTGGTAATTGCAAAAAATAAAATTTGAAAGCAAACCTCTGGATGTAAAAATCCAGTTGAATTAGTCCTAACTTACTATGTCCTATACTTGGAAAGATTTTGATGTGAATACTCACTACTAGAACATTTGCTTTGATTTCCACATACGATCAAAATTTATGTTTCTGGGTATTTTTATAGTTAAATCTTACAAATCCTTCTAGAGCAGTATTTTGGACCTCTTACTGTTTAGACACATTCAAAGTACTCTTGTTGCCTTTAGCTATATCTGATTTGAAATACATGCATTATTCCCTTTGATGCTTATGGCACTTCCACTTTTCAGATGGCTTATTTTTCATACGAGGGTATCTGACTCCTTACATAGATTTCCGTTCTTAACTTCTCATCTCTTTTTTTAATCTTTCTATGCCGCCTTTGAGAACTTCTTTATATTATTCCTTCTTATATTTCTGGGCAGGGGGAGAGTTCCCAATTTTTGCAGGGTAAAATAAATCTTACTTGGATTTTACGTGAGTAATCCCTTGAGTATATGTAATCAGTCTCCTTTCCTATGGTGAAAGTATGCCTGCTCTTTTCCAAACAGTTGTTGGGTGACACAAAACTGCTCAAAACAGTCTCTTCATTTTGATGAAAGCTGAAGCTTTTTAGATGGGTAAGAAAAAAAATATGATAGGAATATACAGATAATAATTCACATTTTTAATGGAGTCTTTGTACTCTCTCTTTTTAATCTCTTTTTTTGAGCCTAGGAGGATACTACTTTCTGTACAGCTCCTCTTTTTCACTCTCTTTTTTGTGATCTGGTCCATTTTCTGTGACTCCTGGTTTGGCATTTCATATTTGTATTTCATAGCCCCTCTGTTAGCCCCAATACTTAAAGAAGGCATCAAATGCTCCTTTACCTTTGTTTTACCATGTGTGGAAGTAACAAAGTAGTTAACATTGAAATGAAGAGACAAATCACACAGTGTATATATGCAAGTTTTATGGGCAAGTGCTTTATTGCTAATTGTTTTGAAGCAGTCAGATGCTATGAATCTCTATGAAGTATAAATTGTCTTGGCAGAGGTTTTTATTAATCTGATAGGTGGGATTACATTTGTTCTTTTTTAGCATTCATGTAAAACATCTTCCACATCTTCAGTTTAAGAGTTGCAGCACTGGCTGCAGGAGTTCTTGGTTGCAGTACTAGCCTCTGCTGATTCTTGGCAAATTCCCTTCTTGTGAGGAAAGATGACTATATTATTCCCTTGTTTGGAAAGCTTAGCACTAGGCTATTTACTCAGCTACCAATTTCAGCGAGGATCACTTACTAGAAAAGCCCAAACTACTCCTGCCAAGCTTCCACAAAAGTGCTGAGGTCTTGATAGGTGGAGATACTAACACAGAAACACACAGAAGGGCTGAGGTTGGAAGGCCCTCTGGAGGTATACTGGTTCAACCCCCTTGCTCAGGCATTGCCACCCAGAGCAGCTTCCCCAAGACCATGTCCTGGCTTTTGAGTATCTCCAAGGACGGAAGCTCCACAGCCTCTCTGGGCAACCTGTGCCAGTGCTCCGTCACCCACAGTGAAAAAGTGTCTCCAGCCTTTTGCTGGAGTCTCTAGTATATCCATGTCCCTCTTGTACTGGGGAGCCCAGCAGTGCACACTGTGCTGAGCAGAAGGGCAGGATCACATCCCTCAACCTGCAGCAACTCTCCTAATGCAGCCCAGGATACCAGTCACCTTCTTTGCAGCAGTGGCACATTACTGACTCATGTCCAGCCTCGTGTCTGTCGGGACCCCCAGGCCCTTTTCTGCCAAGCTGCTTTCCATCTGGTCTGCCCCCAGCATGTACTGGTGCCTGGGGTTGTTCCTTTCCAGAAGAACTTTGCACTTGCCCCTGTTAAACTGCGTGATGTTCTGGTCAGCCCATTTCTCCAGCCCATTGAGGTCCCTCTGGGTGGCAGCACTCGTGTCATCAGCAAACTTGCTGAGGGTCTATTCTGCCCCATCGTCCAGATCACTAATGAAGATGTTGAACAGAATTGGACCAAATATTAACCCCTGGAGTACACCACTAGTTACTGGTACCCAATTAGACATCATGCCCCTGATCACCACCCTCTTGGCTTGGCTGTTCAGCCAGTTTTCAGTCCACCTCACTGTATGCTCATCCAGCCCATACTTTATTAGCTTATTTTAATAGCTTCCTTGATTCTTCTTATTTCATTTCTATTCTGTTTCTAATTTTTCAATTGAAATTTTTTGAAGCTTCATGAGAGTGACTCTTGGCTCTCTGGTGCTCAGAAAGGCAGGATGAATGCCCTCTTGTCCTCAGGAAATTTAAGACTTAAAATTGGTTCCGTGCACAAATTATGGTGATCTGGCTTTTACTGGCTTATAATAGCTCATTATTCCGTTACCTCCTTTGGCAGATGGAAGTGTCAGATTTTATAGCGCAAAATAAAACTGTTACCTCTAATCCAGAATAATCTGCAATTTGTGTCCTGGTGGCTTTCAAGAATCAGTTCAGTTCTCTGCTCTACTTTATTTCTTGTCTCATTACATGCCTCAAGATTTTATCACTTCTTATCTCTGATTCGTCTTTTTAGTTATATGGTCTTTAGTTGTGTGGAGATCAGTGATATGTTAATTGAGGGTCCTTAACACAGTGGTAAAGATGTCATTTAGGAGAGTAGACAGAAATGTCCATCAGGTGTTTCCTCACACAGATTGAGGCTAAATAGTTTGAGATCTTAACAATGACAAATAACTTCAATCTTACTTTGCAGCAATAGATTTGATAGAACAGGAGATGATGGGGTCACTTAGGTTATTTGATTGAATTTCTCTCAATTCCTAGCAGGCACAGACAGCCTCAGTAAGATACAATTAATGCAGAAATTTTTTAGTGCTTAAAGGCAAAGATCCTCAAGATAAAAGAGTGCTAGGGAAGAGATCAGCAGGATTGTCGGTGACTTGGTACCTCATAACAGCAATGAATCCTAAGTGGAAGTGTTGAATCCTAAGTGGAAATAGAACCTCAGTGCTGTAACGTATCCCAGACAGAG